AAATTAATAAAATCATAAATGAAAAACGAGACATAACAACTGATACCACAGAAATATAAAGGATCATAAGAGACTACTATGAACAATTATATGCCAACAAATTAGATAACTTAGAAGAAATGGATAAATTCCTAGAAACATACAACTTACCAAGACTGAATCACAAAGTAAATCTGAAGATACCAATAATGAGCAAGGAGATTGAATCAGTAATTAAAAATCCCCCAACAAATAAAAGCCCAGGACCAGATGATTTTACTGGTGAATTCTACTAAACATTTAATGAAGAATTAATACTAATCCTTCTCAAACTCTTCCCAAAATTTGAAGAGAAAGGAACACTTCCAAACTCATTTTATAAGGCCATCATTACCTTGATACCAAAGCCAGACAAGGACACAGCAAGAAAAGAAAAATTACAGGCCAATATCCCTGATGAACATAGATGCAAAAATCCTCAACAAAATATTAGCAAACTGAATTCAACAGCACATTAAAAGGATCATACACCATGATCAGGTGAGATTTATCCCTGGGATGCAAGTATGGTTCAGCATAGGCAAACTAACACATGAGTATACCACACTGATAGAATGAATGGTAAAAACCATATGATCATTTCAATAGATGCAGAAAAAGCATTTGACAAAATTCAACAGCCTTTCATGACAAAAATTCTCAACAAATTAGGTATAAAAGGAATGTGCCTCAACATAATAAAGACCACATATGACAAGCCCAAAGCTAACACCATACTCAATGGTCAAAATTTAAAAGCCTTTCCTCTATGATCAGGAACAATACAAAAATGCCCACTCTCACCACTTCTATTCAACATAGTTCTGGAAGTCCTAGCCACAGCAATCAGACAAGAAAAAGAAATAAAAGTTATCCAAATCAGAAAGGAAGAAAATTATCAGCTTGCAGACAACATGATCTTATATAAAACACCCTAATGACTCCACCAAAAAACTGTTAGAACTAATAAATGAATTCAGTAAAGTTGCAGGATACAAGATCAACATACAAAACTCAGTTGCATTTCTATACACTAACAACAAACTATCTGAAAGAGAAATTAAGAAAGCTATCCTATTTATAATAGCATCAAAAACAATAAAATACATAGGAATACATTTAACCAAAGAGGTAAAAAATCTGTACACTGAAAACTATTAGACATTGATGAAAGAAATTGAAGAAGACACAAGTAGAAAGATATGTTCTTGGATTGGAAGAATTAATATTGTGAAAATGTCCATACTACCCCAAGCAATCTACAGATTCAATGAAATCCCCTATCAAGATTCTAATGGTGTTTTTCACAGAAATAGAAAAAATTATCCTAAAATTTGTATGGAACTACAAAAGATCCTGAATAGCCAAAACAATTTTGAGAAAGAAGAACAAAGTTGGAAGCATCACACTTCCTGATTTCAAACTATATTACAAAGTTATAGTAATCAAAACAATAGGGTACTGGCATAAAAACAGGCATATAGATCAGTGAAACAGAATAGAGAGCCCAGAAATATACTCACACAAATACGGTCAATTCATTTTTGACACACGTGCGAAGAATAATACTGGGGAAAGGATAGTCTCTTCAATAAATGGTGCTGGGAAAACTGGACAGCCATACGCAAAAGAATGAAACTGAACCACTATCGTATACCACTCACAAAAATTAACTTGAAGTGGATTAAAGACTTAAATGTAAGACCTGAAACTGTAAAACTCCTAGAAGAAAATATAGGGAAACCGCTCCTTGTGTTTTGCCAAGTTGGTCTTGGCAATAACTTATTGGATAAGATACCAAAAAACACAAGAAACAAAAGCTAAAATAAACAAGTGGGATTACATCAAACAAAAGAGCTTCTGCACAACAAAGGAAACAATTAATAAATTGAAAGGCAACCTACGAAATGAGAGAAAATATTTGCAAAGCATATATCTGATAGGAGGTTAATATCCAAAATATATAAAGAACTCATACAACTCAACAGCAAAAAAGCAAATAATCTCATTAAGAAATAGACCAGAAGAGACATTTTTCTAAAGAAGATATACAAATGGCCAATAGGTACATGAAAACATGCTCAACATCACTAATCATGAGGGAAATGCAAATCAAAACCACAATGAGATACCATTTCACACCTGTTAGGATGCCTATTATCAAAAAGACAAGAGAACAAGTATTGGAGAGGGTGTGGAGAAAAGGGAACCCTTGTGCACTGTTGGTAGGAATGTAAATTGGTGCAGCCACTATGGAAAACAGTATGGAGGATCCTGAAAAAATTAAAAATAGAATTACCGTATGAGGGCCGGCCCTGTGGCTTAGCGGTTAAGTGCACGCGCTCCGCTACTGACGGCCCAGGTTCGGATCCCGGGCGCGCACCGACACACCACTTGTCCGGCCATGCTGAGGCCGCGACCCACATACAGCAGCTAGAAGGATGTCAACTATGACATACAACTATCTACTGGGGCTTTGGGGAAAAAAAAAAAAAGGAGGAGGACTGGCAATAGATGTTAGCTCAGAGCCGGTCTTCCTCAGCAAAAAGAGGAGGATTAGCACGGATGTTAGCTCAGGGCTGATCTTCCTCCCCCCCAAAAAAAAAAAATAGAATTACCATATAATCCAGCAATCCCACTCCCACGTATATATCCAAAGTAAATGAAATCAGTATTTGGAAGAGATATCTGCACTCTCATGTTCATTGCAGCATTATTCACAATAGCCAAGACATGGAAACAGCCTAAATGTCCTTCAATAGATGAATGGATCAAGAAAATGTGGTATAGGGGCCGGCCCGGTGGCATAGTAGTTGAGTTCTCATGCTCCGCTTCCGCAGCCTGAGGTTCGCAGTTTCGGATCCCTGGTGCAGACCTACACGCCACTCATAAAGCCATGCTGTGGTGGCGTCCCACATGCAAAATAGAGGACTGGCACAGATGTTAGCTCAGCGACAATCTTCCTCAAGCAAAAAGAGGAAGATTGGCAACAGATGTTAGCTCAGGGCCAATCTTCCTCAACAAAAAAAAGAAAAAAAGAAAGAAAACGTGGTATATATACACAACAGAATATTATTCAGCCATAAAAAAGAAGGAAATCCTGCCATTTGCAACAACATGGATGAACCTGGAGGGCATGATGCTAAGTGAAATAAGTCAGAAAGAGAAAGACAAATACTGTATGGTATTACTTATATGTGGAATCTAAAAAAAAAAAAAAAAAGCCAATTTCATAGAAACAGAGAGTAGAATGGCAGTTGCCAGGGTCTGGGGAATGGAGGAAATGGAGAGATGTAGGTTAAGGGGTACAAACTTTCAGTTATAAGAATAAGAAGTTCTGAGGATGTAAGGTATAGCATGGTGACTATAGTTAATAATACAGTATTGTGTACTTAAAGTTGCTAAGAGTAGATCTTAAGCATTTTCACCACAAAAAAAAAAAAAAAAGAGTTAACTATGTGAAATGATGAATGTGTTAAATATCTCAAGCTTGGTAATCATTCCACAATGTATATGTATATCAAATCATGTTGTACACTTTAAATATAGACAATTATATTTGTCAACCATTCCTCAATCAAGTTGGGGGAAAAAAGGAAAGCCCAGAATCAAAAATTGGAATACTATTAATATGAATTGATTTTTGATGACATTAATAAGAAAATTAATTGCATTAGGAGCCTTTAAAAAAAAAAAGAAAATAGTGGATGAGACCTCTCAGAAGAGAGGATGCTGGGCCGGCCCCACGGCTTAGCGGTTAAGTGCATGTGCTCCGCTGCTGGCAGCCTGGGTTCGGATCCCGGGCGCGCACCAACGCACCGCTTCTCCGGCCATGCTGAGGCCACGTCCCACATACAGCAAGTAGAAGGATGTGCAGCTATGACATACAACTATCTATTGGGGCTTTGGGGGAAAAAATAAATAAATAAATAAAATTAAAAAAAAAAAAAGAGAGGATGCTAAGAGAGGCTGGTTTTCCAGGGCCTGGGTGGATGTCAGGATGGTAGGAACATCCCTGACATTGCAAATCTGTGAGGAATTTGGGACAAGAGTGGGGAGCCTGTGGGGCCTCAGGGGAGACTTCAGAAGCTGCTGGGTGTGCAGCTCAGGCCTGGAGACAATTAGGTACTGCAAACCTGGATCTAACTGCCAAGGTCCCAGGCTCGATCCTGGCTCCTCCTTTTGGGGCCCCACTGCAGAGGCAGGAAGTACTGCCCGAGGCTTAGCTTCCGCTCTGGGTGTTTTGGTACCACCCAGTCGCCCTCCTCACTCCCAGGGACCTTCCCATTTGGGGCCTGCAGCACTTTCACTTCCCCCAGGTGCCCAGCCCCTGCCCCAGCACGTGGGAGCGCCATGATCGACACTTGTCGCCAAGAACAGGATGCAGACTCCGAGAGAGAGGGGCCATGACAAGGGGGAAGAAGGGGCTAGATAAACAGAGAAAGCACAGGCATGCAGAGAGAAGGGGCCAGAAACCCAGAGAGGGAGAGGATAGAGACCCCCGGGGGGGGGGAGGGACACAGAGACCCAGAGAGAGGAGAACAGAGACCCAGAGGGAAAGAGAGGACTAACAACCCAGAGAAAAGGGAACAGAGACCCAGAGAGGGGAGGACAAGAGACCCAGGGCCAGGAAGGGAGGACAGAGACGGATGCAGGGATGGCAGAGCTTAGCAGGCGGTGAGGTCAGAGTGTCTGTGAGGTCGGCTGCTGTTCAGAGCCAGCCTGGGGTCCTGGTGCCCAGAGGAGGTGGGTACAAGTAGACCAGGAGTTCCTGTGGGTCCCCCAGCCTGAGCCATGGAGACCTGGGAGGGACTGCCTGCTGTGTCCGTGGTGCCCACAAATTCCAAGGCCCCTCAGGTATGGGTGTGTGTGTCGCAGTGGGGCAGGTGAGGGAGACAGGGACAGAGACAGAGAAGAAAGCCACCTCGGGTGTAGAGGAAGGGGGTGGGGCTCCACCCCTGGAACTTCCTCTTTCTCTGTGTTCCTTTCTCCCTCTCTCAGCCTCTCCTCTCTCTCTCTCTCTCTCACGGCCTCTGTCTTTCTGCCTGTCTCCCCCACTGCCAACACCTCTTCTGTCCCGTCCCTCCCACTGGTGGCTCACCCCTCTACGTGAAGATGTCAGCCCAGGACAGATGCCTCAGCCTCATCAAGTACCTCCTCTTCGTCTTCAACCTCTTCTTCTTCGTGAGTTGCCTCATGGCGACCCAGCCCGGGTCCCCACCCCTGCCGCAGCCGCCCGACCTCCTATCCTAGCCCCCTTTGCCCACCGCCGTATTCTCATCTCCTCTCCCCAGGTCCTAGGCAGCCTTATTTTCTGCTTCGGCATCTGGATACTCATCGACAAGACCAGTTTCGTGTCTTTTGTGGGTGAGGGGGCTGGGGCAGTCGGCGGGGGGCCTCCCTGCAGCAGGCGTGGACTCAGCCTCCCCACAAGTGGCCTCCTGTGGTCTCCCTTGTCCCAGGGGGGCCCACGGTGCTCAGCTCCCTAGGCAGGCCCCAAGCTTTGCTCCACGGCTCGCCACTGCCATGCCTAAGCTTAGCACCTTCCTCTGACAAATGAGTTGTGCATACTACTACTAATAATAATAATAATAATAGCCATCCCTCAGGCACTTCCTATGTGTCAGATCTTGGGCAGATTCTCATTCTTCAGCAAACCTTCCTCTCTCTTGAGGTTCAGAGAGGGGAAGTCACTTACTGGATGTCACCCAGAAAGGAAGTGGAAGAGCAAATGTGACACTAATAATAAGAGTAGGAAAATAATAATGGGGTAATAGTCAAAACCCTAATAGCTCATATTTACTAAGTGTTTGCCCTGGGTTGAGGACTGGGTTGAACACATGTCCTTCAAAACAACCCTAAGAAATAGATATTACTAACCCCTAGGCTGCAGGGATGTTTAAGTGACTGATCTAATGTCACAGAACAAGTAATGGGCTGATACTCTCAGGGTTGAGGAGGAGCTGAAGGACAAAAGAGAGACTGAGAGCAAGAGGGAGAGACAGAGACCAGGGAGAAAGGGACAGAGACCCAGAGAGAGAGGAGGACAGAGACTCAGAGAGAGAAGGAGAGAATCTCAGAAGAAAAGGGACAGAGACTAGGGCCAGGACAGATACCCAGAGAAAAGAGTGCTGGGAGCCCAGAAAGAGGCCCCCGCCCGGATGCTGTTCCCCACTTGGGTGGCCACGTGGGTGGGGAATGGGGCTGCCTGGAGCTGTGCACATGGGGCCCAAAGTCACTGCCTCTCATGTCCCCCAGGCTTGTCCTTCATGCCCCTGCAGATCTGGTCCAAGGCTCTGGCCATCTCAGGAATCCTCACCATGGGCCTGGCCCTCCTGGGCTGTGTGGGGGCCCTGAAGGAGCTTCGCTGCCTCCTGGGTCTGGTGAGTGCCCCCCGCATCCCTAGGACCACTCACATCCCCCCCTCAAATAGAGCCCTGGCAGGCCCTGCATCCAGGGGAGGGGCTCAGCCTGACCTCTCCACTCTGCCCCCCCAGTATTTTGGGATACTGCTGCTCCTGTTTGCCACGCAGATCACCCTGGGGATCCTCATCTCCACTCAGCGGAGCCGGGTGAGGTTGCCTTCCCCTCTCCCTCCCTGCAGCTAGTGGGTGGGCGTGGGGGAGTGGGAGGAAGTGGAAAGAGAAACAAAGGCAGACAGGGGCTGACATAGATAAAGAGATATAACCAGGCAGAGGAAGACTGAGAGAAACAGACACAGAAAGAGCGAGAGACAGAAGAGAGTCAGATACAGAGACTGGCAGAGGGACACAGAGAGAGAAAGAGACAGGGAGAGTCAGAGAAAGACTCACCGACATGGACGGAGGAAGACAGACATAGCAAGAGAGAAAGAGATCTAAACGGAAACAAACAGGAAAAACAAACAAACAAACAAACGATAAAAAACACAGCAGAGAAACAAAAGGCTCCCAGGTAGTGATAGAGACCTAATGAGAGATCGTGGGAGATAGAGGGAAAAATAGAAAGACAGAGGGTAGAAACTGGCTGAGGTTTTGAGGAACAAAAACATAGCTAGCCCTTCAGTGAGGAACTGAGGCCAACATAAATGTGCTCAGGGATCCCACGGGGCTGAAACAGCAGGGGAGTGGCTGGAGTGGGTCGGGGCCGGTGGAGGTGGGGAGGCTGGTAGGGGTCCAGCCTTACTCTCGGCCTCTTAGCTGGCGCGGAGGGTGAAGGAGATCGTGCTGGAGACTATCCAGAAGTACCGCGCCAAACCGGAGCGGGCCGCGGCCGAGGAGAGCTGGGACTACGTGCAGTTCCAGGTGCGTGAGACCCCCACCCCCCCGGACGTGTACCCCTCCCTCCAGCTCTGAGACTCTGACGTGGCTCTGCTCTCGGCCTCGAGGAAAGTCCGCCCCAACGGAGCCCGGGCCCCCAGCTCCAAGACCCTGACGTAACCCTAACTATCCACTCCACCTCTCGCCACTCCGGACGGGGCCCCGCCCTCAGATAAGAACACTGGCCCCAACGTGGCCCAGTCCCCCAGCTCCCAGACTGTGGAATGGTTCCGTCTTCCGCCTCGACAAGACTCGGCCCTCAGCCCCCAGGCCCTAGAGTGACCCTACTCCCTGCCCCGTAGTGACTCGGGCTCCCACGGGATGCAGCTCACGTGAGGCTCCATTCCCTGTCATTCGTGTGGCCCCGCCCTCCATCCACCTGTCCCCTACCTGAGGCTGAATTGCACTGTCCACCCAATCTTCGGTCCACAGCGTGATTCTGCATCTCCTCCCCCAGCCCCAGGTCGCCCCGTGATTCGTCTCTTCCAACCCCACGTTCCCCTAATGTGCCCTGGCCCTGTCGTGACCCCACCCTGCACCCACCACTTAGCCCTCTGCTCCCCAACATGTCCTCATACCCGTCACCCAGTCCCATGATGCCCCAAATCATCTTGCATCCCTCCAGTCCCGGTCCCTCTGACTCTTGTCCCTCTCCTAGCTGCGCTGCTGCGGCTGGAAGTCTCCTCAGGACTGGTTCCGTGTCCCCAGCCTGAGCAGCAACGAGTCGGAGGTGCCCCACGTGCCCTGCTCCTGCTATAACTCATCGGCCACCAACGACTCCACAATCTTCGAAAAGATCTCCCTCCCCCAGTTCAGCCGGCTCGGACCACTGGCGCGGCCGCGACACAGTACAGACCTTTGCGTGGTCCCTGAAAACAGCTACATCTACCGCGAGGTGGGGCGGGTTCGGGAACCGCTGGAAAGGGGAGGGACCTGTGGGAGGTGTTGGGCTGCCGGGAGGGTCCCCAGGAGGCGGGGCCGTAGGACGTGGGTGGGGTCTGCACGCAGGGTGGAACCACGAGAAAGAACGGTACAAAGGGAGGGGCGGAGTCCCCTAAAAGGGGCGAGGCATGTAGGAAAGGCGGGGCCTAAAGCAAAGGACTGGCTAAAAGGGTCGCACCTGGAACGCTGATGCCTAGGGAGGGGGACGCTTGGACGGGGCGAAGCGGAGACTAGAGAACTCTGGTCACGAAGGAAGCAGGGCGGTGCCTGAAAGAGGTGCGAGGGGTGCGCTGAGAACGGTGGGCCCGGGCTTGAGGGCGAATCCCAAAAAGAACTCTACCTTAAACCATTCCCCAGGGATGCGAGCAGAGCCTCCAGAAGTGGTTGCAGAACAACCTCATCTCCATAGTGGGCATTTGTCTGGGCGTCGGTCTCCTCGAGGTGATCTGGTCCCGCCCCCATTCGCGATTGGCCCTACAATCCCTAGCTGGCCCCGCCCCAAATTGCGCTTCCTCCCAGTCTCTGGGAAAGGCGCATGCGTGGTAGAACGTCAGCCAATTCAGACAGGCCCTCCTGCCGCTCCAACTGGGACGAGGGAGGCGACCTAGCCTCTGTGAGCTCTGATTGGTTGTACGGAGGAAGCAGGCGTTCCCGCCCTTCCTCGCGAGGCTCCCATTGGCCTTCCTCGGAAGACCAGCATCCTGCTATTGGCCACAATATCCCTCCCCTTTCCCTGCAGGTGAGTGTGGCGGGGCTGAGCCTGCTACTACTGCGCAGGGCGCTCTACCGGGAAGCCCGGCCGCAGGTCCTGGGTGCCCACGGTTCGAGCCCTGGGCCCGGCCTGAGCGCTGACGGCGACGGAGGGCGCTGTGGTGTGCTGAGCAGCAGCGGGCGTAGCGGCAATCTGTGGGGTGGCTGGGGCATGGCGGATGCCTGCCCCAACTGGGGGGACAAGGCCCCGCAGGGCAAGCTGCCCATGGCCCTGGGGCCCTGGCCTCTTTGGGATCAAGACGAGGAACAGCCTGAGACCAGGAGCGCAGGCACGGAGGTGGAGGCCAAGGTGGAATTACAGGCTGAGGCGGAAGGGGAGACAGATGAGCCTCCAGAATAAAGGACCCTGGGCTTGCTCCAGATCTCACTCCTTCCCAGACTCTAGACCTACGCTAGACGCAACTGGGTTCCCTTACCCTATTCTGTTCCTCTTCCAGCTCCCAACTCTGTTCCCACCCTCCCCGGCCCGCTCTCATCTTCTGTGGCCTACCCCATGACCTCCTGCCCTATTACCCTTAACTCCACCACATTCTCCACCTCTTATCTTCCCCCCAACTCCCATCCCTAACCCCACCTTTCACAACCAGGCCCAGTTCTCCCTCTAGCCCAGCCCATTTTCTACCTACTTCTTTCTCCGCCCCTCCCAGGACCCCTCCCGGCCCAATTCTCGGTGCCTTACTTTCTTGCCCTGGCCCCACCCCGACTTTTCTCCCTTGGGACCCTCACTACCCCACCCCCCTCTCGCCGGCACCCCCTCGACCTCTCTGACTGCGTCTCCTTTCTCTATAGCTCAGCTTCATGACGCTCTCGATATTCCTGTGCAGAAACCTGGACCACGTCTACGACCGGCTCGCTCGGTACCGCTAGGCCCCGCCCTCCCCAAAGCCCCGCCCCGCCCACTTCCAGTGCCTGGGTATTTCCCTGTGGCCTGTAAATATTTGTTTAATCCCCAGTTGGCACCAGCCATTGAGCCCTCTGCCTCTTTATTCCCCCGGGGACCCAGGTGTCTGCCTGCCCCGCTGCTGTCACCTCTCCCGCGGGACCTGGGGCTTCTGCCACCAGCTTCCTGCCCCAAAAGACACCTCATTTCCTTAGCTCATCTGTCGGCCTACCACTTCCCACAAGATGATTTTTCACCCAAACCCCAAATAAATCCCCTGTGTTTTGGTAAAATAGCTTTATCCTCTGTCAAAACACAAACCAACACACTTGGGGGAGGGAGGGGCAACACAGTCTAGCCCACGGCTCATTTAGAAGAGGGGATGAGATTTAAAAGCCTCACCCCACTGTTTGCCCAGCTGAGAAAAAGTCACGACCCTAACACCCACTTATAAATATCTCTTGTTATATTAAAAAAAAAAATATTTCCAGGGCCCACCTGGCTCTGCTCCTGCACAGAAAGGGTTAACCTTCAATATTCGATATTAGGGTCACAGGTTGGGGGTGGTAAGGAAAGGAAGGCAGGGAAAAGAGTGGGGCTGAGAAACAGAGTGAGGGACAAGCCGATGTGTAACTAGGGCCCTCCAAAACATCCAGAACAGAGTGGGAGGAGGGCGCCTGGTAAAGACTGAGAAACCAGTGCTGTACCTGGGGGTTGTCTCACTCCTGTGACCAGTCCCTGATGCGCTGGAGTGATGTGTCCTTTCAGACGCCCCTGTGAGGTCCCATATCAGGATCGATTCTTTCCTCTCGGTCCCAGCCCATTCAACTCACCACCCAGCTTTTAAGGTCCCCTCTAACAGGGAGCAGCCCCCTCCCCAAATAAAAACATGAGGAAAGCTGGAGGTCCTTCCGGGGGTGAGCCACTTTGGGGGTTCCCCTTCAGTCCCTGACCAGGCGGTAAATGTGGTGCTGGGCCCCCCGCTCGCTGGTGGAGACCTCAAAGACGTAGGCGGTGCAGAGCAGCAGCTCCTGGGTGTCCCTGTTGGTCACCACCTGCCAAGGAAGCCAGGAGAAGGGGTTTACGCTTGGAAGGGGGAGCAGGGACCACTGTGCCGTCCCTAAGGCATCATGGGTTACCCAGGAAAGGGGTCCCCACCATGTCACGTTCCCCAGATAGAGCAGATGCCCAACATGTCAAGTTCCTGATTTGAGGGTCGGCAATGAGGGGCCTCACATCAGATGGTATATCATGTTACAGGTCAAGGGGGTCCCCACCACATCACGTTCCCCAGAGTTAAAGAGGATCCCACCATATCGTGTTCTCTGGGCTAAGGTTAGGTTCCCCATGAAGGGGGTCCCTTAAGCTGAGGATCCCCCGCAGGATGTCCTCCAGGTCAATTTCCCCAGTGAATGAGAGTGCTGTGGAGTTCCCACCATATCAGTTTCCTGGGTAAAGGGGTCCCCTAAGCTAAGGGTCCACTGTGGCGTCCCCACTGTGTCAGTTCCCCAGGTGAAAGGGTCCCCGGGCTGAGGGTCTGTGATGGGCACTCTGCTCCCCGTCAAGGGCCCTGCTCCAGCCCAGCCCCTGCGCCTCACCTGGAGGATGGTGAAGTTCTCCAGGACGCTGTTCATCATATAGCGCTCGGGCAGCTGCCGCAGCTTGTGCAAGAAATTCACCAGGTACTCGCACATGGGCGAGCGCAGCAGGCGGTACACGAACCTCCCATCCTCCAGCTGGGCACGCTCCGTCTGACCCGGGGGACGGGGAATGGGGAGGACAGTGACCGAGAGACACGGGGTGGCCCCAGGAACCAAGCCCCACTCCTCCATGCCTCTCAGATGCCACCCCCCCCCACTGCCATCTTCCCTCCAGTGCCCCATCCATAGTGACCGGAGACGGGACCCTGCACCCTTGGGTATCCGGCTCAGGATCACTGAGCCTGTAAACCAGGGGCCCCTCCAGCCCCTCAAAGCCACGCTCTGAACCTTCAATGACCTTTGAACTCCTCTGACCTCCAGGCCCTCAGATATCCTCAAACCCTCCAAAGACCCCTCCGTGAGACCTCCAAACTCTGTATGACCTTTGAACTCAAGGTCCCTCAAGCCCTCAGCACCCCTAACTGTGACCCCTGAACCTCCTTGGCCTGCAGACTCTTCCATATCCATAAGAACCTTTTGAATCTTAGTGACTCTAAATCTCTGTCCCACACACTACCCTTGACTCCTCCAAGTGACCCCTACATGTGACTTTGGAACTCCATGTTAGCTCTAAGCCCATGCATTAAACCCCCAAAGAGGCTAGGACACCCCCCACTCCACCATGCAGACCCCCAAATGCCTGAGCTGTCGTGGCTCCTGGTGCATTTCGTCTGCACCCCCGAAGTGGCAGGTGGCTGGGCGCTCACCCGCCCAGAGCTCCACCCCTCCAGCCTCACCTCCACCTTCTCCACCACCTGCTTGCCAAAGGAGCAGACCTTGGAGGAACAGGTGAGGGTCATGTGCTCCAGGCTCTCGTACTGGCTGCTCACTCCGTAGAAGCCACCGCTGCTGCCGCCGGCCCCCACCTCCTCGCCACTCGGGCCCCAGTTCAGGTCCGCCTGGGGGATAGGGAGGCACAGATAAGTTGGAGGGGACGTCCCTTATAAACAGTGGGGACTCTTCTATAGTGGGAACCCACACATGGCCCGGTTTCTCCCATCGCCCTGCAGTTGTGCACCTCTCTTTCTCAGCGTTCAATGTCTCCACCTCTCCATGGGCCAGTTTCTGGAGAAGACCCATCCTTCCATCAGCGTTGGAGAAGTCTAGGTCCTAGCCCTCTCTCCCCGGTAAAACCCCCGCCAAACGAGGCTTGGAATTCAACTTTTTTCTCCTAAAGCCCCCAACTCGAGAGTTCAGCCCCTTCCAAGGGCCTGGTTACTAAGGAAGCAGTTACTCCCTAGCAACCAGAGGCTCTCCCTTGGAGCCCTCCACAACCCTGGCTGCTAAGGCAAGTGGTCTCTCGACCAATGGGGCCTGCTGGGGCCTGGGGAAGCCTGACCTTTCTCCAGAACACCCTCCTGGGCCCTTTCAGCCGATTCTCAGAGGTCAGACCCCTCTATGACCCCAGTGGCCAAGTGGGCAGAGAGTCCATTAGGCCAAGCAGAACCTAAGGAAGCCTAAGACCTCATCACACCTCTGGTCCGAGCCCATTGGTCACCTTCTTGGGAGCCACATCCCTTTCTCCACACCCCTAACGTTAGTTGCTAACTTGCCCAGGCACTTCCTGGGGTGGTTTACTCCTCTCCTCAGGGGCCTGACTCCATCCATCACCCTGGCCACAGGAACTGGTGAAGCCAGACAAAACTGAAGGCCTTCCCAGCCACTCCCCTGCATCCATTCAGATGCTGGGCTTCCTAAGGGTCGCTCTCCAGACCTGCGACCTGGTGAGGCCCGTCTTAAGCCCTGACAATGCCAGGACCTCAGCAGCACATCCCCAGAGCCGTCTCGGGCCTCCACTTCACACACTAGAACACTTTAGAACCATGGTAGCTATAGGAAAAGCAAGGCCAGTAAACTTCAACCCTCAGCAGGCTTCCTTCCTTCTCAGGGACTAGATCCCGCCACCGACCTAGTTGCCACAAGAGGTAACACCCCCTAAGCACTCACCACATTTATTGAACCCTGATAGCATCAGTCATCGTACTGGACACAAAACCAGAGGCCCAAGAGAGACCCAAGATGGACCCTCTTATTCACAATGATATACATAGCACCTGGCATGGGGCCTGTATATAGTAAGTGCTCAATAAATGATTGTTAAATAAATACAGGATTTCACACAGCCACTCCCCAGGTCCTTTAATCGCTTCCTCAAGGCCAGACATTCGCTAGCAACAGGGTCTGGTGGAACAAGCAAAGCCTTGTCCTCTGGAGATGAAACTCTCCTTGACTCCATTTGCTAAGGGGAGGGGGCCATTCCTTAGCAACAAGGCTTGGGGTGGTCAGATGGGGCATAGGGAAGCCTGAAACGTTACAAGCCAATCCCCAGGGCCGTATCAGTCACACGACTGGATGTGGCCAAGTCTAGTGGGATCTGGGGAGGTCAGAGTCCTAGCCCTATGCCTGCGCTGACCCCTCATCCCCCACTGGGGGCAAAACTCCTCTGCGTTCCTTGTTGCAAAGGGGGCCAACGCTCTGAGCCTTGAGGACCGGGAAGGCCCAGGCTGACCTGGTAGGTCCTGAGACTGTGTCCCTTAGATCCAGAGGCCTTAGCTGGGAGGCCACATGATTTATGAGCCCTCTTGTTTTCGGTGGCAGAACTCACCCAGAACTTGACCAGGAAGAAGGCGTGGGGGGGCCCACGGTCATACAGCTCCCGCAGACCACCCTTTTTCTCAGGGAATTTGTCATATATCTGCCGGACGTCCACACTCTCGAGGGGGGGCGCTCCAGGGCTGGGGCAGTGCTGGCTGATGTGTACGAACAGGTGCCTCTGGTACTGAGGAGGGTCAGCCGTGGGTGAGGAGTGGAAGATGGGCTGGGCCT